GTGAGTTATCAGTTAATTTCACTCTGAAAGTTCTCCACTGCCTTAACCGGGTATTGAACTCACATTCTTTGGGTCCTATCACTGGATCTAACTAACACCTTTATCCACTGTGCCACGTGTCCTTGGAGAACTTTCAGAGGGAAATTAACGGGAGATAACTGACATCCATTAAACATGGCATGTGAAACTAGAACAGTCTACCCCAGTGAGCGAAATAAAGGGTTCAGTTCGACATTCCAACCACCTGAAGAAGGCCGGAGTGTACAACAGCCAAAACGTTGTAATAAATATGGTGACAAAGATGAGGACAATAGTCCAAATAATGTAAATAATGTACATAATACCTCATCTCAGAAACAGATACTGAAAAAGAGAAAGATTAAATTATAACTTCTTTAATCTCTTTGATGCTTCAAAATTCCTCAATATCATATCATCATGGACACTACTCCCACCTTTTATTTGGAAAAAGGTGGAGAAAAGCAGGGTTTAGAATAAACAAATTCAATAATGTACAACTCGATGCTGTTCGATAAGAATGGAGTCAGCTGAAAAGCAGCATGTTGATGGAGAAGCATAAAAATGCATCACAAGAAAGCCTAACAATTGATCTTTTACAAAGTATTAATGAAAGGTATGCTCAACTAAACTGAACATTACTGGCAAAATAAAAGACACAAAAGCTTGCAACATTTAAAATCTCTCAGCTAGTTGATAATTAAAGTGTTTACTCTATGTAAAAATGTATTGTACGAGTTTGCGTATGTGCATAAATAATATTTTTAGTGGGTACATGTATTTGTTGTTATCTCGGTTTTGTTCTTTTTTTATATTTTCTTAAACAGTGAACTTAATAACAACCAGCCTAGATTGAGAAATCCTACTAAAGAAAGAATGTGTCTCCAATAGGAATCCTGTATCCCCCACCCCCAGGAAAACCATTTCTCTCTCTCGTATCTCACATCATGAGTCCTGTAACCCACTAGGTTTGCAGGGGCACATGTGCTGCAGTAGCAGTGGTGTTTTCTGGACAAGATAACCTGACAGAGCTCAACCCTTTCCAGGTTGGTTTGAATTTAGAGATTTCCTTCTCTTAGACTAGTCACCAACCAAGGCTATGGTATAACCCTTTTTACTGCTGCTTACACCCAGTGGTGTAACCACATTTATTGGTGCAGTCATCATAGTCATAGGATGTTTTAACCACAAGGCTAACTCTGTGCTGGTTAATGTTGATACTAGTCCAAGCTGGTTCTTGGTCACCAGCTGCTTTGATCCACACTAACTCTGCCATGTTGTGTTCCTGATCTCAGGGCAGTGGAAGATCAAAGGTTGTAGTAACTGCAGTGTTGATTAAAGCTGTGCCAGGTGCTATGTTAAGAAAGAAAAATATCTTCACGACTAAAAATAAAACGAAAGATTCATGAGGTTAATCTTCAATTGGTTTATATAGCTCTTGGTACAACAAAAATTAACCCATCCCACATCAAGCTCTATAGTGACACTGGGCCTTGTTTAAAGTTCCTGAGGAGCCAAGTCAAAAGTTCTTTTGAATCAGGAAATCTGGTGGCACCTGACATGGATTCCAGATGCATTCTATATGGGATTTGCAGCCCAAGTCTCCAAGCTCCCAAAGTCATCTGTTTATATGCACAGGCATGGGGCTGAAGGGTTCTGGGGATTCAGTGATTCCTCAATCCTCACACTAATCCCTTCAAAGTTTTTTTTTTTGTTCCCTATTTCTGCTTCCTTAATAAATTTTCAAAATTTGGAGAATTATCCAACCTCCCAAGGAGGGTGGATAATTCTCCAAAATCCCCCTAAATCCAACCAGCTTCACTTCATATCTCACACCACCACTCCACACAGGTGGTGCTAAATTCTGCCTCTTCCTACTTGGTATTCTAACTCTGCCCAACTCTCAGAGTTGACATAACTGTCTTTGTGAAAAATCTAATTTTTAGAGTGCATAGATGAAAGAGAGTAGTTTATTCTTATCAGTAATTTCAATTCTCTGAGTCCTTTTTATTTTCCTAGAATTATCTTTGTCCAATTAGAACACAAACCAGACCACTGCATTCTCATATAACCTTCTGAGCGAGTGAAAAAATTATTTCCCAATTTATTTCCAACAAAAGTGGAGTAATGGATAGTGGCTCGGATTAAGGAATTGGAAAGCAAAGTTTGAATTCCAGTTGAATACATTACATTGACTTACATGCTAATACCCTTGGGAAAGGTATGAATCTTCTTCTCCCCCAGCTATGGGTAAATAGCAAGACAGACTGGGTTCTATAGCCTTAGATGGCAACTGGTGTACTGCAGAAAGAAATGGCAACTTACTGCAGGAAAATACTTGCCTTGTCAGTCATGTATCAAAAGATACATGATTGCCTAAGCATGTATCACTCATGGCACATAACTGACGGAAAGAGACAAAACCGTTCTCGCTCAATGGGCCGATCGTTGTCTTAGCGAAAACACAAACTAGACCTTTTTAAATATATATATATATATTTAAAAAGAAAGAACAGTAAGATATATAATCCGGTGTTCTTATAGATATTTTTATTTTTACAAAGTAGTGCTCAATGTAAATTTACAGACCATTAATATTATAAATTAATTTATTTAAAATATGGTTTTACGCTACACAGTTCTAACCATGTTTCAAAAATGGAAGCTAAAAAGCTTTGAATTTAATTTTGTAATTAAATTCAACGGTAGTTTGGAGTTTATTACTGGGTTTTATCCTCAAAATCTTAATTCATGTTTCCAAGGATACAGTAACTTATCTACAAAGGGTTTTTGTGAATTATCACTGTATTTTGTTGTAAATCTTAATTCATGTTTAATGAACTCATAAAAACACCCCTTGTCTAGATGAATGGGTTTCATCCTTGAAACATGAATTAAGATTTTTGCTGTGCTTTTAAAACCCAGTAATAAGTTGTATCCAAAATTCAACTTGAGGATGAAATGGAACTAATGTCTTTAATTTAATTTCAAGCTTTTAGCTTCCATTTTTGAAACCTGGTTAGAACTGTTTAGCATAAAAACCATATTTTAAATTTAATTTAAATATATATATATATATATATATATATATATATATATATATATATATATATATATATATATATATATATAATTAGCTTGCATTGGTCAAAGAGCCCAAGTGTGTATTTCAGAAGGATGCTGAAAATACCATACATTAAATATGTGAGCAACAATCAAGTTTTAGAGAAAATGAAAAATACATAACTACAAAGCAGCTGAGGTTTTAAATTCAGAGTTATCCTTCTCCTTGAGTGGCTGCCAACCAATTCTACACAATTCACTTTATCCCATCATTTAAATTGTAGCTGGGATAAATTCACATAAAATGTTCACATTTTCCAGTATGTTGATTGCATTAAACATTTTTTTTTTTTACTAAAATTTTTTGATATATCATAGGAAAAAGAAAAAAAGGAAAAAAAATAAAAGAAAAAAAAAAAGGGATATATTTTGTATATCAATTCCCATAGATATAAAACATTTAGGAGATTTGAAAAACTGTCTTAAATTTACATGATGTGGTTTTCCTCTTTTCTACAAAGATTTTCATGGCAACTACTCTGATAAGCTCCCCCCACAATGCCCTAACTATGTGAATTTAAGTGTGCTACTAGATTAGCATCTAGGTCCCATTCTTTTACTGTTGAAATAGTTAAATGTAACCACTACTTCTATTGCAACGATTTTTCCTCACACTTCCCACCAGTGGAAGTCCCTTCCATTTGCATGCTTCTCTGAAAACTACAATCTTGAAAAATTTAAATGCAACATCAATCACCATCTGTTGTCTTGAACTCCTCTCATCCTTTCCTCAACCAGTCTTTTCTCTCACTGTAACCTATTGCTTACTAGTGGCATTACCATCTTGCTTAGGATGAAATGATTATTAAACAATCAGTTGAGAAGGTGACATTTATTCATCTTAAAACAATTTCTTTGAAATAGAATTATCATTTATAGCAAAATTACATTATATATAAAGTTCCCAATACAAGGCTCAAGATTTATTCTTGATACTGAATGAGGTGTGTGATATGGTCATAAGAGTTGGTAGAAGGAAGTGAGGATAAAGTCATTGAATGCTGCTACCATATCTGGTCTTGTGTTGCTGCTGCATATCTTGAAATTCTTGAAGAAATTCAAAGAAAGCTATGTAATGTAACTGATCCTGTCATTTTGTCTTCAGTCACTTTCTCACCAATGTGACATGGTTTCACTCTGTCTTTTCTATAAATATTTTTATGGTAACTGTTCTGATGAGCCTTTTCTCTTAGTGTCTTGACGATATGAATTTAAGTATGCTACTAGATTAATGACTAAGTCTCACCATTTTACTGTTGAACTAGCTAGATGCAATACCACTTCTTTTCTAATAGTTCTCTCACACTTCGTTGACATTAGAAGGTTGTCTGATTGTCGGGATTGATTTTTTTAGGTTAAAAAAGATTGTGACAATATCTGACAAACCACTTTCTGACCATCCAAAGAGCTGGTGCATAATTGAAATAAACCTTCTTAATGTTTTTTTTTTGCTGCAGTGTTCTGATGCTTACTCTTTTCTGATATTCAGAGCATGATATTGCTAAAGTGCAACTTTTCATCCTCCATCTTTAAGGTATTAATCTGTGAACAAAAGTTCAACAAAGTTTGATTGCAACTGAACTATGCAAGGTTTCAATCTAGAAGACACCAAAAGCCAGCACCAAAACAAATGCCAATGTCATTTTATGATTGATTCATTTTCTACACCTTATCCAATCTCTGCAGGTTATTTAAAGCCAGAATATATTTTTAGATTGTAAAAAAAAAAAAAAAAATTTTAAATAGATAATGATTTAGTGATACAGGTCTTACTAATTAACCCATAATTTGGAGGTTCATACCTTTTCCAAGGGTATTTTCACATAAGTGTAACCCCAACTGGAATTGAAACTGTTCTCTGGTCACCCATCTATGTACTAATTAGGCTCAATGTTGCTTAACTTCAGTGATTGTATGGGAACTGGTGCTTCAATGTGATGTGGCCATAAGCCCCCGTTATTTTATATTAACAATGAAAACTAGGCACAAGTTTTTGCAGTGATCAGATATACAAGTTTTATACCTGAACTAAAAAAAGGGAAACAACTTATCTACTCCTCAAACTATGACCCACACTCCAATATTAATGTCTCCTCTTTATTTCCAATAAAACTACAGCAGATATAGGGAGTACAATAACACCATTGGATAGAGTAACCTTTTAACTACAAAAATATTTTCAGCCAGAATTTCTGGGATGAAGAGTCATCATTATTTACACTATTTATATTCAGACTATTGTCCTCATCTTTGTTGTTTTTATCACAGCATTTTGGCCGTTGTGGCCTCTGACCTTCCTTAAGTGTATATAAAACTGGGTAACCTACAGGGAATTCCAAACTGAAGCCATCATTTAATCTATGGAGTTAGACTGTTCTCATTCCACTGTTCATGTCAAGGGATATTGTTTAGTTCTTATTTAGGTCACCAAATTCACAAACCAACACTTTTATTCATGAAACCATTGTCTCCTAGAGGACAATGACCTAGACAAATGAAAGCATATGCTGAAAGGTCTGAAAGCATTTGCACTGATTCTATCAAGTCTGAAAGAATCAGCACATGGTAGGCTATGAGGATCTCCTTAGTAGGCCTAGCATAGAAAAACGGGAGCCACTAATAAAGACAAATGACAGCAAGTCTTCAACAGCAATCAAAACATGACAGCCAGTAGCAGCAGCCTAATCAGCAGTTAAGGTTAGGTTTAAGTGTCTAAAACTGGGTAAAAAGCATTGGTTTGTGAATTTGATGACAGTGGTTGTGAGTTCAATCTCTGGGTTAGGCAGTGTGTACTTGCACTCAGTGGAAACAGGTGAGCAATAACTGAACAGTACTAAATAAAAATAAGAACTAAATAGTATCCCTAGACACAAGCATTGGAACAAGAACAGTCTACCCCCTGTAGATTAAATAGAGGGTTCAGTTCAGAATTCCCTGTAGGTTACCCAGATAGATATACATGGAGGGCACAACATGATACAAACAACAAACATGAGGACAATAGCCTGAATATAAATAGTGTAAATAAAAATATTTTTCTACAAAGTCACTAGCATTGGCTATGCATTTTCACCTGCCCCTACATCATGCTCATAAAATCCTGAACCAACAAAGGTGACATTTTCAGAACAGCAATGATAACATCATTGTCATGAAAATGTCCATCTTATCCATCTTTAATCAACCTGAATAGATGAAAGTCAGAAGGTGATAAACCCAGACTATATGTGGTCAGACAACCCAGTACAAATGATCCATGGTCTTCAAACTGGTGTGGAGTCCTGCATTACAAGTAGGGAGTTATCTTTCTCTGACCTGAATCTGGAAATTTGGACTTTCAGCTTAATGTTGGGACTTAACAGTCAGATTGGATGGTTTCTCAAAGTTCCTAGAGGATCATGTCTTATTCCAAAAGACAATGTATACCACTTTGCCCACAGATAGCTGTAATTTTTCTTAAAAGAATTTGCATATTACCATTCCACAGACTACAGTTTTGTTTCTAGCTCATAGTATTGACACACCTCAACACCAGTGATGTGGTCCAAGAAATCGTCACAAAGTGGTTCAGCAGATCTTGATACAACTGCACTGATCTCTTCTTGTAGGAGCATATGTCAAACTCATCCAGCTCTTAAATAACTGTAGCGAAAGGGAAAGTCACTTACTGAGAAAAGGGGCATGTGTGTTCTGTACAATATGCTGAAGACATAATAACCAAAATAGAAACAAGTCAGTCACAGGTGTTGCCATAAATGCATCTCAGTTAATATTGTGTGTTCCTTCCCATGTGTTGACCAATGAAAAACATTGTTCTGTCGATAAAAGCAGTTGTTGTTCTCAAATTAGAAAGTAGTTTATTTTTCTACCTCGTCCGCCAGCTTGTGTGTTGGATTTCTGACCATTTACGAGTATTGGTATTTGTGATATTGGACCTGCGATTTGTGTTTTTGACATTTCTTTCCGACTCTGGATCTCCGGGTTTGGACTTGCGATTTGTTTATTTCGTTATAGAATTGAGCTGTCATATCAGTTTTTGGACAGTAACAAATTTCTAAAATACTACATATTCTTATACTAATTATTCTTAGAAAGAATTATTCTAGAAAGAGTCCAGCTAATATATAACCTAATATTGTGATAAAAGTAAAGACAAGAATCTATTATTTCAAATATCTTTGCTAAGAATGCACTAAGATCTACAAACCAAAATAAAACAAAATAAATAATTAGAACAATAATAAATAAAACAATAAAACTACTTTTTTCTAATGAATGTAGACAAATCACAAGAGGTCTGCATTCCCAAAAGGAAATTAAATTTCATAATCCTCAACCCACAAGTCAAAAAAAAAAAAAAAATAAATAAATAAAAAAAAAAATATATATATAGCCACAAGTATCCAGTCCATTTTTATCAGGAGATGACTGAGTCATGTTGAATGTATTTGCAGTTCACTCCCTAAAACTTTCTCGACTGATGGCAAAGGAAGGGAATCTTTACAGCAGTGAAAGAGGTAGAAGTGTTTAGAATGAAGGCAGAATCTGGGCGATCTTTTCTGAAACTGTTATTAAGGGAAAGCAAAAACAATGCAAATATTCTTTTAAATAATCAAACATTTCATTCACTTCATATCAATAGTAAAATCCAGTTTTGGTACAATTTTTTTTTTTTTTTATCCACCTAAATATTACAAACAACACAAACTATTCAGAACATTTTATCAGTTTTCAGTTCTCAAATAAAAAATAAAAAAAATGCTATACTTCTAAAACTGAAATTGTTACTATTCTTAATATTTTGTCGTGTCTAAAAGCCAAGAGAAGTAATAGGTTTTATAGTTCACCTGATTAATACATGGCAGTGAATGCTGGCCAGTTTCCTCAAAAATGTAGACACTTGAAGCAACAGAAATGTGGTTCTACAGAAAGATGCTGAGAATACCCTGGACCAAACATGTAAACAACAACAAGGTTTCGGATAAAATGGAAACTTATACTTAAAATCAGGGAGAAACAGTTGAAATTTCTGGGGTACATAATGAGGAAGAAGGACTTGGAAAATCTGATACTCACAAGACACATTGGGAGAAAGAGGGAGAGAAGAAAGCAGCATCTAACATACTTGATGAGTTCAAGTAAATGGATGGTAGAACAGGTTTTGGGAGAAATAAGAAAAAGACAAAACTTATGAGCTACAAGGGACAGGAAGGTGTAGAGGGCTATAATCGCCTACGTCCTGAAGGGGCATGGTATATAAAAGATGGTTAATACACTACTTTTGTAACTGAATTGGTAATTAGTCGTTTCTTTATACGGAAACATTTGGCATTCATTGACCAAACAGCCAGAGTTACTGTCAGTTGAAAGTTAGATGAAAACAATTTTTCAGGAAAATGGGTTTGTCAATTACACTGTTATGGCTCATTACAGTTTCCTTCCTAACCTTTTGTTCGAAGTAGTGTGAAACATCAACATCTTATGACATTATGTCATACTCCAAAGGTTTATAGGTGTTGCCCAGAAAATAATTAGCTGCTCACTTCTGTCCTTGGAGGACATTTCTAATTCTTATTGTTACAGCAGAGCAGAAAGATGACATGCATCCTGGTTAACTACTTGATAGAAAGGTTACTCTTGGGGCGATATTTTAGATCTATTAGTTCTAGGACAAAGTGATTGAAGGACAGCTTTTATCATTGGGCCCAGCATATAATTAATGCTGACAATTTTTAACGTATTTTAAACATTACTTTTACTCATTTGATGCTGTACATGTGTGTTTTCATGTGTTGCGTGCATATTTTTTTTTTTTTTTGCTCGTTGATGCACCTAGTGTCTGTTGTCCGATTACATTGTACTCAATGACAAAAAGAATAATTAACTAAATAATTTTCTCCGTCATATAATTGGGCTGTTTTCTGTCTTAAGTTGTCTGTCTTACACATTGGGAAAATGCTTTACATCCCTTCCCTACTACTGCCCTTGATATACCAATAAGTACCAAGAAGTTTCTATATAGCATTAGTCAAGAATTCTTCAAAGAGGAAATCCGTCTTCAGTCTCCTTCATAGAGTATCCCTTAGAATTCATTTCATATAAAACTCCAAAGTTTACATAATGAAAACATATGAAAAAAAAAAAAAAAAAAAAAAAAACAAGACATTATTTTTAAAAATTTAAGTTTTTTTTTTTTTTTTAATATTCTGATAGAGTGTTATCAAAAAGAAATATTTGAATTTTCAGAGTGAGATATTTAATTATCATAAGCAGCCATTTGATGATGGACATTAAATGTTCCTCAAATAGTCATTATTTTCTATATCCAAATAAATGTTTAATTCATTCAATAAAACTCAGTAACAAAATGATTTTCCTTGTTGATCATTTTGTGTAAATAGTTTCCATTAAAATGGAATTGAGAATTGGGGTTATATTTAAGCCAATTTTTATTTTATTTTTACAAATTTGATTTTTCTTTAACTGATATTTACCAAAATTTAGTTTTGGAAAAAAAAAAAAAAAAAAAAGAAAATAATAAAAGTAAAACTTTAACATTTCCAATGAAATAATGGCAAGATTCAAACCCATGAAGTCAATCAAACCATTTTTTTTTTTTTTTTTTTTTTTTTTACAATAAGCTTCACCCTGTACAAAGCCAAGAGGCCACTCGAGGTAGACAGTTACGTTAAGAGGGAATTTGTACAAATAGGAGGGGAATGTAATGGTTAACCCAAGACTTGAACAGATTAAGATTGTAATGATTAGGGAAACATCTTCTTGGAATTCGGTTCCACTCAGCAGTGGTTCACGGAAAGCTGTTCAAGTGAAAATTACTTCTCACTGATGGAATACAGAAGGAATGTGGATGGCTTGCTACAATGTAAGTGGCATGGCATGGTGTGTCCTTGACATGAAGGTCTGAACTGGCAGAACCAAGGAATGTAG